ATTTTGTGTAACTCTTTGGGCCACATTTCCAGCGTGACAGGAGATCAGCACACTGCTCCACTGCTGCCAAAGAGGTCCGTGATTTTTGTTTGTTACCGCATATTCCCTCCATGGCAAACCCGCTGCAGTGGTGGCTCATCAATTAGGATAGATTTCCCCATTTGGCAAAACTCAGCAGAAGGTACTTAGCTGATTTGGCAACCAGCACTCCCAGCGAGAGAATTTTCTCTCTTGCTGGGAATACCATTACGCAAAAACGGGCGAGCCTTCATCCTGCTCATGTTGATGCTCTTGTTTTCTTACACGTAAACCAGGATCGAAAACCAAAGACCGTAAATGAGGAAACTACTAACAGCGAGTTAACTTTATTTAATTCACTGGTGGATTAAATACAGGTTTAATACATTGTTTTTATTTTACTGCATACAGAATAAACTTGATTTTTATGAAAAATGCATTGATGTCACTTTTAAAATGTGGTTATATAACTTCTACCCATCTCTGTATCTGAGATTTGCAAAACATTATTTTTTTTATTTATTTTTTTTACTGTTGTGTATTCTCATATATTGGACCATCACATGGTGAAAACAGGGATTGCACTCAGATCAGTATTCCAAATCTTTGCTTGAAGAAATGGACATTGTGTGCTTTGGACCAAAAAGGAAGAGAAGCATCCAGACAGTTGTCAGCAGAAAGTCCAAAAGCTCAGTTCTGTGATGGTCTGGTCCCGGCACAGTGTTCTTGTTCAAAGCTCCTTTCCTCTTCTTTGTTGGTAGCATTAATGCAGAAAAGCCCAGCAGAGATTTTACAGCAACATCTGTTGCCTTCAAGACCACAGTTTTTCCAAGGATGTCTGCATTTTTCACCAAGACAATTTAAAACCACAGTCTGCTCACATTCCTATCACTGAGGAAGAAGCGAGGACAGGTTCTGAAGAAGCCTCACCTGTCCCCTCCTCTTTTAAAATGTGACAGACACCCCTGCACGCACTATTGGACAACTTAGGACTTGTTTTCAGGAATAAATGTGACAAAATAACACCAGACACTTGTCATCCCTTTGTATTGTTAAATATTCAAACATCTTGTGTTGGAAGGAATGGAAACATTTTAAAATGGATAAAACTTTCTGGAAAAATGGGTTTTGGAATTTGTTGCTCATTTAAATAGATATAAAATGAACAGTGACACAAAACATGGCATATGCACTTATGCTGCCTGCAATTAAAAGGCAATAAAAGTCAACAAATCAGTTTGATTTACATTTTTATGCAGTTTTTAGACATAGTACGTGACAATAAAGGACCAAAAGGATTCACATTTTCTCACAGAGAAGAATAAACTTTTATCAGTCACTTGACAAGCTGACAGATGTTGCTTTGCTGTTATCAACCAGTAAAACGTACTTATTGCAATGTCTTTACATTCATATTAATCTAAAGTGACGATAATGGATAAACTGATATTTAACTTTCATATGATGAGTTATATTTGACCTATTCATAAAAAAAGACACAAAGATGACAAGACAGTTTCATAAGCAAACATTCACCTTTTTATTTAACACATTTCTCTCCTTTGACATATAAAAATACACCGAACAGATGGAAACCAGATCGCCTGCATCAGATTGTAAGACAAGACAGAATTTTAACAGACTGAAAATGAAAACAGATGCGATGAATCTGAATCTTGATGACAAGGTGCTGTCCACCATCCAACCAGAGACTGAGCCAGCGGCTCTTTCGTCAAAGGTTTTCATCTGCACACCTCAAATCACTGACCAGAGCAAACCATCTGTTCTGAGGAAATTCTGTCTTTTTGTGTTCTGAACTCACTCCATCAGTACAAGAAGCTTCCTGTTTTCTGATCCTCCACACTCCGGCTTATTATGTTATGAATGAATGGAAAAAATATGCAAGTCTGACATCTACATTAGTAACTGAATAAGTGAAAGCCTGCTGTTTTGTGAATATGTGCTAAACTAAACATGTGCATCTTAGACAAACCAACGTGCATGCAGCCAGGAAGTGCACGGCTTCTGCTTGGAGATATAACCACCTTCAGTTATTATCCCCAGACTAAAACTTCTGCACAGCACATAAGACTTCCAAGAAAAACACGTAGCCAGAAAATAATCCAATCAAAATTGAGGTTTCTAAATATATTCTGAAAAACAAATTACTAATCCATAAATATAACGTGCAGATAGTCCAACAGAAACATTTATGAAGGCTTTTCCAGCTATTGAAGAGTCAGGTTTTGCATAATTATCTAGCTATTAGTATTATCAATAAAAATAGTGGTAAATAAGCCGTCAGGAGGTGAAGATATTGTACTTTGTGCCTGTTGCATACAAATATAAAAGCTTCAGTTCATAATTCTATGACCAGCATTGTTGCTACAGGAAGTAAACTGCACCATTACTAAAATGCGGCCGCTCAATTTGACAACTCTTCTGCTCGTTCACTGCTGACTGGATGTTTTGATCATTTTCAAATGAGGTGTTTGTATTGGCAGGTTTGATCAGTGCAGGGTTAGGACCGCTGGCTCCATTTATTCCTTTTAAACAAAAGAAAATTGACAAAGATCGATAAACGTGCATCTATTTGTGAAAGTACTCCACCATTTAACAAGAAAGTGGATTTAATGAGACTTTCTTCTTCGTCTTGACGATTGTCTTTTCAAACTCTGCAGTAAAAGCAGTTTCTTTGGCTGCTATAACAACCTGATGGGAAAAAGTTGGAATGATAAAATATTTAAGATTATACTGATCATATTTACTGTAATGTTTTTTTTATCTCTTGATAAAAACTAAGAATGTGTACATCAGATTATTTTAGGAGAGCACAAGCTTTCATCACTGACTCTTAACTCAGGTGTGTCTTTGCACCGAATGAGAGTCCAAGCAGTTCAGGTATTTACCACCGTGCTCACTATAAACTATAAAATAACTATATTTATCTGTTTTGCATCCAAATGATTCATGAAATCCAGCTATATAAAGTGCAAAAGTGTCCAAATATTTTAATTCCAAGGAGTTTCAACAATTTTCAAACCATCAATGCATGAAGATAGAGAAGGGAATAAAATATAAAATCGCATCTTATCAAAAGTTCTACCTTCAGACCAGTAAATATTTAATCTAGCCCTGCAGAGACGAAGGGACACTTTGTAGAAAATCCTTGCAGTTAAAGGTAGGTATAAATCTTGAAGTAGGACTAAGTTCTGGGGTCTGTATTAAAGGTTTCAGAATGGAGCAGCTAGACTTGGCACTAAAATACTAATCTGAATGTACAACTCCGCGCAGCCTTAAATCTAACTCTTTATCTACTCAAAATCAGAAAGAAAGACTTTAAACTACCAGATTGGAATTTGTGATGTGATCTGTGATTGTTTGTCCAGTTATCCTCAGATTAATCAATCCCCAGGAGCTCTTAGGAGGGGTAGCAGAGCAATCTGAGAATTGGGGGCAGCTATGGCTGAGTGGTTAGAGCAGTTGTCCTCCAATGGAAGAGTTGGGGGTTCGATTCCACCAGAAGTTGCATGCCAAAGTGTCCCTCGGCAAGACACTGAACCCCTCATTGCCTCCAATGTGTGTCCTATCGGTGTATGAATGTGATAAAGCACCGATTATTCTTTGTATAGATCTAGTAGAATGCTGTATGAATGGATTGTGTTGTAAAGAGCTTTGAGTATCTTGATAAGGTAGAAAGGCCATATATAAGTACAGTCCATTTACCATTAAGTCTTGCATGAATTGGTTTTGTCTGTCAGAAAGAATAGTTTTAAGAATTCATCTGGTCAGTTTCCAAATTTCCAGAGTGATTGTTCTAAATAAAGATGTTTGCATCAGATGCATCCAAAGGGATTAGAACGATAGAAAAGAAGACAATGTGCAGTTATTCTGTAGCAGCTGTTGCTTTCTCGACAATGACAGTAAATCATTTGTTTATTTTTCCCTCCGTACGACTTTTATTGCAACAACTTAGGCCTACAGTTTACATTATTAACAACTAAAAGACAAGAGTAGTAGAATGTCTGAAAAGTAATGTTTGAAGATGATCAGATCTGGTGAAGACGAAACGTTATTCCAGAGGAGCTCGAGGCTCTTCCAGCTTGCTGCATAATTCAACAGTGGAAACAGTTTGGTGCAGCTGTAAGTCAGGAAGCCAACTAGTGAGGGGGGGTAAAACTGCTTCTCAATGTTAACGACAAATACAAAGCTCCTCTTAAGTAACTCGCATAACATCTGGGCACCAGTTTGACAGCAAGAATGTGGGACACTAGGTGTTATCGATGCCAATGAGCATGCTTTAATGACTTGAAAATAAGATCAAAATGTTTTAACTGAATAAAGAAAAGGACAAAAGTTTGTGAGACGATCTGCGAGAGTGTCAGGTGAACCACGGGGAAAATCTCGAAGGAAAATCTGATCCCCGAGGATTCGTTTTTCAGTGTAACAATATGTGCAACACACGGTAAACACTGGAAAACAGACTGTTTAAATTCATCTGGATGCTCTGCAGAGGTAAAACCACAGAGAATGGCTTTATGTGGAAGGAAGTAATGAAATCATCAGATGTAGATCAGTTCAATTATATGTCTTCAAGTAAAAAAAAAAAAAACTTTTTAAATTAACTATAAGTTTATAATAAAATATTAAAGGCGATAACAATGCTCAATATGTTAAATACTACAAAAAAACAATATGAGGAGTAAAGTTAAACAGATCGAATAGTGCAAAAAAAATGTTATGATGTAAGAAATATCAAAATGTATGGGATTTTTGAAAAACAAAATTTTAGCAGCTTAAACAGGCACAAATACAGCTTCCTCCAACAGGCTTACTGGTTCGTTGATGCTGATTATAACACGGGTTAGTTTCTTTAAAGGTATGTGTGAAAAAGCAAAACAAAGTAAGTTGCTTTTATTCCAGAAGGTAATTCTTAAAGTTTGGATGCATGTATGCTGATGATGAGGTACCTTTTAGTTTTATTTTTTCTTGCAAAGCAAATAGATCTTGTTTCCAGCCATTAAAAACAGGAGCACGTCCTCGTCTGTCTTGTTCTTCAATACTCCTATCGTCTACCGTAGCTCTGTTCCAGCCACTGCCGCACATCCTTCAGGTTGTAAAAAAATGGTCCCTTCCCTCCCAGGTAGGCTATTTTTCTTTGGTGCACTATACACACCCGTTCGTTGGACACGCCGTAAGCCACATTAGCGTTATTGTCCATGCAGTCAGCCACTAACTGGCACTGAGGTGGCAGGGAGAAGTGCTCGATGAGTTTGCGAGCAGCTCCCATTCTTTCCTCCAGGTTCTGGTGTTTGCGGAAGCTAAAAGAGCAGGGCCCCATCGGAGGGGCCACCCAGCCGTCAGATGGGTGAGCCTCATCGATGTAAACCAGCAGAAAATCTGCCACGTCACTGAAGTCCTCCACAAGCTGCCGGAAAGCAGGAAGGTGGCTGATGAAGGGGGGTCAGGTGGCCGAGCCAAAGTTGACCACCAAGGGGCGATCGGATGATTCAAAATCCAGAAGGCGGCATTCGTCCTCGGTTTGGATTCTGGTGCCTCGTGGGACATTAGTCACATTACTGATAGTGCTGTTCCACCGGGGTCCATCAGGAACCTTCACCACCTTGGAGTTTGGTGCCTCACAGCCAAGTTTCACCTGGGGAGGTAAGAAAATATTGATGTTTACTTTTCATAGCCTTGGACGATGACCTTTTTCTTTATTCTTGTCCTATAAGATGCAGATGCTGCAATTGTTACGATGCTGTTAACAGATCTTGAACATGCTATTGGGATTCAGGGAATAACAGTTCCAACAGTTTGTTTACATCATTGATGAATGAATGTTTTAACGCCAGAATTGGGTATGAAATTCCACAGGGTTCTGTTCTCGGACCAGTTAACTTTGTTTTGATTATTAAGCATTGGGCAGCATGGTCTGAATTGTCGTTCCCATGCTGGCAGATCTTTAAGTTGAAATTAATTCCATCTATGGTAACAATCAACAAGTTTAGAAGTACATCAAACCTTAAAGGGATAATCTGTTCATTTTTGAAATGATGTTCTGTCAAGTCAGTAGTTGCGTAGCTGTTGTGATATTAGCCACAGAGCAAGAAGTGTAGGGAAAAAAAGGCAGAAGCCTTCATCCAGGCTAGGCTAATGTCTATTTTTGATTTATTATTTAGGCTTATAAAACAGCTCTTTCTCAAAAATGACACACCAGTGAAAAAGAACACTATATTATATCTCAAACACTCTATACTCCGACACTGTCTGTTTAGTTTGTGACTGTTTTCTTAAACAATCCACCTGATCAGTACATCTAATCAGTCTAAATGTTTACTTAACTCCTACATATTTGCAGCTTCAACACCATTGGCACATAACAATCTGTGTATGTTCAGCAGACACCCACTGTGGATTAACACAGACATCGACTGGTTTGAGGAAACTGCAACAAATTAAACTGTGCCATGCAAAAGTGCCGAGGTTAAAGCACACCAGCATGTGGTTTATTAAAATTAAAAGACAATAAAACTGAAATTTAGGAACTCACAATGCACAAAGCAGAAAATCTGAGATTTTTTTTTTCTTTGAGGATTTTTTGTAATTCCTTATGGTTAGAATAAAAAATAAATCTTGTTTATTTAAACTTTACTTTTTTAACAGGCTCCTTGTGAAATAAAAGGCATAAATTTTTATTATAGTTCTCTCAAATCCCAAGCTTTGTCGTATTCAAAAGAACTTTGGATGCCATGCTTTGGAAATAAACTCTGGATTAGGTTCAGTCTGTTTTCTTCCTTTTCATATGGATTCTTTCCAGCTGTTCAATTGCAATAATTTGATGACTTTAATGCCAACAAGGGTTAAGGCAAATTAATATAAATCTAGACTTTAAGTATCCACAGATCCTGACAAAAGTTTGAACATCTACCGTACTTGTTTCTCTTTTATACAGAGAAAACAAAGGCAATGATGGAAAAACTATTTTACCAAAACATCTGGAAGAATGTAGAGAAGTGTTTACCAAAGTGAATCAGACTTTTGTGTTGGAGCTAGTGCAAAGAAACTAGAAAACAAAGGAAACCAAAGAGATGGAAATAAAAGTTTGAAACGCAAAGAACAGAATTTGAACCAAAGGAAAGTTTGGCGTTGATTTAAAGTGTCCAGATGTGGAATATTAGACTGTGAAAACACATCTGGAAACATGTGGAGAATATCACAGCATCCTGCATCAAAACTGACATCTATTTAGTTTAATCTCTGCGCTAAAGGCAGAGGAGCTTCTATGAAAGAAGGCACTGCACATCTGTAGGGAACTTTACCAACACTTGTAACACCTGAACACTTGTTTGCAATCAAATTCCAGATGTGGCGTTTCATAGCTTTCAAGCAGAGCAGACTCACTGGACATAAAGGGTGTTGGAGGACGTGGATATTCTTCACGCAAGGTGATACGTGCAAATATTGTAAGTGTGGGTTTAGGTTGTATCCATCTTGAATCATGTGGTTCATCGCAGCAGGTGATAATTATGAGATCAAGCTTAAGCTGCATCATCACAAAGAGGCAGGAGTTAAGCAAAGATACAGTTCAAACCTTTCAGCTCCTGCTGTGTGGTCCGATTCACACAAGGCTTCACAATATGTGCATGCTGCAGGCATCACAAATGATTTTATTTAATATTTTACACCCAGTCCGGCATTTACATGAAAAGATAGCTTGTGGGGAAACCAGCTAATCAAGATGTTAATTAAAAAACAGATGTTAGCAGGTGATTATAATTAGTTTTTGTTTTTTTATTCTCCAAAGAAGATTAGTTTAATAAAAGGTTGGTTTGAAAGCTGAACAAATACTAAAACTAAAGACAGATTTCAGAGTTATAGACAGTGATGTATTTGGGTTGTAAAAATAATTGGTACAACTTTACAAAAGGATCATTGTATTACACTTTTTAATATAGGCTACTCATAATTTAATAATTACTTTATGAGGATTTATAAAAACAAGGTATAAATCAATGAATAGGACTAAATGAAGAGCTTTACTTTAATCCATTTCAGTAACTGTTGCTATTGTTTTATATGAAATGACTTATTTTAACTAAATGAAAACGTAATCATGAATAAAAGTAAAAAATCGGATGAGGTCAGTATTGTCCTTTAATAATTGCACTAACTGTTTATTAATGGTTTATTACGTCTTTACATCCTAATTATTACCTGAATTAATTTTTGTAGCTCAATCATCCAGGTAGATAACAACAAAAATGGTTAAATCATGTCATCAGGACCTTAAGTGAAACATTTCGTCCACCATCCAGAGGACTTAGTCTGCGGCCTGTCAACCAAATATGTCCCATACGTAGCCTTCATTACTGTGTTTCAAGCTAACCTCCCGTTCAGAAACAGGCTTTTTAACACGTGCAAACAGAGCACACCCATCTGAAACCATCAATCATCATTAACAGCAATCATTTGTTTTAGGTCAGGTAGCCAACTTGCTACTCACAGAAACGGCCTGTGGACATCCAAGGCCAAAATTGTTCAGAAAAAAAGTTTTGTAAGCTCAATCATCCAGGTAGATAACAGCAAAAATGGTTAAGTCATGTCATCTGGACCTGTTTCTTTAAGTAAAGAAACGTTTCATCCACCATCCAGAGGACTTTGTCAGTCTGCGGGCTGTCAAACTCTTAAAGAAACAGATTCAGATTATATGATTTAACCATTTTTCCTGAATTCATACTTATACCTTTGTGGAAAGGGAGTTTCGGCAATTTAACTGTTATTTCAACACAAAATTTAAAAAATTATACTTTGTAAGCTGAAAATATTTTATTATAAAGCAAAACCAGTACATCAAATGCAAAATTTCACTGTTTCTAATTTCTTGCAGTCTTACTCAGGGATGAAACACAAGATTTGTGTAAAATAATAATAAAACAGGAGCTCTATAGAAAATAAAAGAAAACATTGATTTGGGGAATCTTTCGATACGGAACAAAACGGACCTTTTTAATGTTGGTCCTGATTTTTGTTCTGCTCCTCAAGTCAAACAAGTTCTGCCAGAAGAAGCCAAAGTCACAGTGTGCGGGCCGAACCGGGTCAGGAGGCTCACCTGCTTGTGCGCGTCCAGCAGGAAGCTGTTCCAGATGGAGCGCAGCCCCTCGGCGGTCAGCATGCGGCGCCACTCTCCGCGGCGCGCGGGGCGCGTGCGGCTCGAGCGCGTCACCGCGCGCTTCACCAGCACCACGGAGTCGTACAGAGCCAGGAAGAGGCAGTTGGAGAAGAAGCCTGGCAGAATCTGGAGTGTGACGAGCAGGTCTCCACTCGCGCTGCCCATTTTCTTCCCCTTTTTCTTCATGCGACGATTCAGAAAGTTCTGACCCGGTGCCGGCTCTGATCCGCTCCCCTCATTGTGGATCTCCTCCGTGGACTCCCTGAATCCCTGGGATCAGCAGCGCTCTGTGAGGAGGATGGAAACTGTGGCTCCTGTCAGGCCTCTGGGCTTATGTTTGCAGAACGATGCTGACGTCAGATGGCGAGGAAAGCCCCTGTCTCCTCCTTCCTCCCCTCCCTCCTCAGGTCTTCACCTCCACACTTTGTGTGACAACTGCACACACATTTTACAGGTCCACATCTAACATCATACATGGAATTACAGAAGATGAATGCAATGTCTGATCCTTTATTATTGAGTTGGAAAGTTGGTGGTTTGATTCCCAGTTCTCCAATCATCAAGTTGAAGTGTCCTTTGGCAAAACGCTGAGTCCCAGTTTACAGCATCTGTTGAGGCTTAAAAAGCAAAATACCATCATGGTCTTTGAGGTTCAGATGTGAGTTTATTTTTTTGTTTCTCATCTTGTTCTGATATTCATAATTATGCACTTAATTGTTAAAGTCATCGTTTATTCTCAGAGTTTGCTCTCTTGTTTTTCATGGTAATCTTTACTTCTTATCTTCCCACACCTGGTTCCAGTTTGTCGGTTCAGACATTTATTTGTATAATTTACTTCCTCAGTATTTATTGTTCCGGGTTTTAGATTCTTATCCTGGTTTGCGTTTTGGGAACCGTCATGTCAAGTCTTGTTTCACTTTCTTCCAGGCGCGGTCGCTCACTCTGTTCTTTTGCACACCCTGCCTGGCAGCATCCTTTTTTGTTTTATTTTGTTTTAATTTGTTTTACGTCTCTCTCTTACGTCTGGAGTTTTGCATTCGGCTGTTTATTTCTCTCCAGCACATTTATAATCTCATTTTTAAAACAGCTGCTGTAGCTCAAACAGAAGTTCTTGCTAGTTCTGATTGACCCAGGATGGTCCAGACTTTAATATAAGCTATATTATAAATCAGAGAATATTAACTTTATTAATGATGTCTGGTAGTTCCATATTTAAAAATACTATTGTTAAGTGATGACACCAACCTTTTACTCCTGCAAAAAATTACGAATACTTTACAGTAAGATGTTTTTGCAGATCCTGTGTAATTTCCTGCATTGCTTCAACCACCTGTGACTGGTGCTGGTCCAGTTCTTCTTGTCTCGGCTTCCCAGCCTCTTCTTCAGGTAAGGGATGAAGACCATGACAGCAAGACAAAAAAAAAATGAGATCATAATCTTATATTTTGTTTTACTTCTCGACTATCTGTTTTGGCTTGGGTGCAGAGTTCATCAAACTCCAAAACCAGTTGTTTTATGGTTGAGTGGGCTTTTGAAACCTTGAAGGGCAAGTTGTTTGAGTTGCTGTCAGATTAGATGGTGATGAGCTGAGGAAAGAACTAGAGCTGTGATAATTAATCCAAAATGTTTCCTTGTGTTTTAGTTTTCTTATAGCTCTAATCACTAATTGGATTCCCTAAAGGATATACTGTGTATTCTCTTTAGGGGAAGTCTTTCAGTCATGATGCTGAAAATGTAATCTTCAAAAACTGACCCATACTAAGTTTTCAAGAAGTTGGAAAACTAGTCCTATTGTATTTCTTTAGTTGCATTTTTCTTAAGCATGCTGCCTAAATTCTGATAAACTACCATCTTCTGTTTGATTCTGCTGCAGCTTCTGTATTTTAACTGATCCATGCTCTTCCAGCTCTTCTGGGAGGACTCCAAGGCATTCCCATTTCAGCTGAGTAATGTAGTCGCTCCAGTGTGTCCTGGGTCTTCCCCGTGGTCTCCTTTCAATCAGACATGTCCAAAGCACCGCCCTAGGGAGGCCCCCAGAGAACATCCTTACCAGATGCCCAAACCACTCCAGCTGACTCCTCTCGATGTGGAGGAGCAACCATGTTTCCGTGTTTCTGCTCTGAGTCTCTCCCAGATAACCAGACTACTCATATCTCTAAAGGAGAGTCCAACTACTCTGCGGAGGAAACTCATTTCAACCATCTTTCTCTTCAATCTAATTCTTTTAGTCACTACCTGGAGCTCGTGACTATAGGTGAGGGTAGACCAACCGGTAAACAGAGAGCTTTGCCTTAAAGCTCAGGTCCCTCTTCACCACAACAGACCAGCACAAAGTCGCAATACTGCAGATGATGAGTAAAGTTGTTTAGTTTGTCGACGTTGTCTGATTGGTGACATATTTCCACCCTGGGGCGCAAAAATCGTTACCCATAAACTCTCGTTAAAAGTTGTACATGCACAGTAACTCCTCTTCAAAAGAAGAGAGAGGACTATTTTGGGGCGCACCTCTCCGCAACTTGATTTGCATGTCATTCACCACCCTCCTGCGGTGGGAAGGTGGGACTCCCAAAGCGGGGCTGACATCAGAGCCTCTGTCATAAAGTTTGCCTGATTGACAGGGTACTGCATGCAGCGAGGCTAATGCTTATTTTACTGCCATAATTTTAGTTAATGTATTTTATCTTGCAGTATGCATATTTTTCGCCTCATTTGGACATTTATTTAGAAAAGTTCTAGGTAGGAACTAATATGCGGGATGTTGGTTCCACTGGGGCACAAAAAGGAGAAGCACTCCCTGGTGAAGCATGAGTAGCAAAACAAGTGTCAGCAGAAAAGGCCAAAGTGAGTTAAAAGAGTTAAATGAATGCTTGAAATAAGTTGTAAGGACTTCGTTTCGCCCTCTAAAAAGGGTCAGCCAGCGAGGTATGTTTTACATATTAGATATATATCATTTATTTATTCATTACACCAGGGCAGCACGGTGGCGCAACTGGTAGAGCTGCTGCCTCTCAGCGAGCAGGTCCTTGGTTCAAACCCTGGTCCAGGGGCCTTTCTGGGTGGAGTTTGCATGTTCTCTCTGTGCATGCGTGGGTTTTCTCCGGGTACTCCGGTTTCCTCCCACAGACCAAAAACATGCACGTTAGGCTGATTGGTAACTCTAAATTGTCCCTAGGTGTGAGTGAGAGAGTGAATGGTTGTTTGTCTCGTTTGTCTCTATGTGGCCCTGTGATGGACTTGCGACCCGTCCAGGGTGTACCCCGCCCCTCGCACAGTGATTGCTGGACATGAGCACCAGCGACACCCCGTGACCCAAAATGGAATAAACGGGTAAAGATAATGGATGGATGAATGGATATTCATTGCACCATCAGTAAAAGAGCAAATTATTGATGTTAAGAAGAGGTGGAAACAAAAGCTTTATTCTGCTTTCCCTGCCTCCTTTTTCAAACATCAGGATCTGACCCGACATGGATTAATACAGGTATGACTGATTTAAAGCTTTTTTTGGAAAAGGCAAAGAAGCATGAACAATCTGGGATCCACATGGAAAATGCACTGTGAATAGCCATGTTTGGGAAAATAAACATTTAATCTCAGCTTGATGAAGGATACAGGGTAGAGATCCGTAAGCACAATGAGGAGGTTGACAAAAACAGGCACATTCTATCAAAAATAATAGACTGTATCAACTTCTGTGGTGCATTTGAACTTGCCCTGCGTGGCCATGATGAAAGTGAAAGCTCAGAAAATCTGGGTGGTTTAGAAGATGGGTGGATTTTGTAGCATCACTGGATGCAGTTCTACTGTGCATGAGCAATTTAGTTACCAATTCTACATGAGCACCTGCAGACTGCCACTGTGTTTTTATTTATTTTATTATGTATTTATGTGCAAAAAGTAGAACACTACATGACATTATAATGTTGCTTTTCTTGTTTTCATTCATGCAAATACACTAGTGTGATACCTTAGTACCGCTATATGTTTTGGTATGTATCTATTTTGGAATTATAGCCCCCCCTGGAGAAAACTCCACGAGCTGCCACTTGTGTCGACCCACTGTGTGGTAACCTCTGTCCCCTCGTCGATTCGAGGAAAAGCACGTGGCGGTCATAATGTCAGTAAATCAAAGTCTCCGATATTTGTGTATGGTGCCTGTCCGGTACAGGCAAATCCGCCAAATCAAACATGGTCTGTAGACCTTGAATCCCTTGAATGTGGGGAGATGTGAACCATATCATTTGAACTCAATGACCCAGGCAAGAGGAGAAATCTTCCACTGTCCCTTCAGAAATGGAATCCGTCCACAAAATACTGTTGGGAGGTCTCTGGTACTGCATCACTGGGTGTTTGCTGTAAAATTAGGCTTAAAGATGAGCTAAAGGATTATCTGTCCTCTTACATTTTATCTTTACTCTCTTATATTAAGCATACGAGCTGCAGCTGTTGGTCTTTTTTTTTTTACCATTTACTATCAATCAATTCAATCGTCGAACCCTTCTGTCTGTTTGTGTCTTGGCAAATCAGCCAAAATTCTATCCACTTAACATACCGAATTGATTATTTTAAGCTGACCTTTACATCGTCTTTAACCTTTCTGGGATTTTTGATATTTTTAGCAATGTCCAAACTGGAATCTGGAATCACAAATGTCCAAGCTTCATCTTCAACTTTCACCTGGAGGGTTCGGGCACATGTACAGCTTGTCTGCACACTTAGAAAAATGTATGATACAAAAAACCTAATTTATAAACTCCATTCTTATTTTGTTGAAACGTTTCGTCCTTCATCCAAAGGACTTCACTAGTCCAAGGAACCATAACAATCTCAACACAACAAACAAAGTTTTGAACCACTTTAGCTATGGCTGCCCCAAAGGAGTCGACGGGGGAGAGTTCAGACTCCAGAAACCATCTTATCACCATCAAACTGGTTGGTCCACTATGTGAGCATGCTGCTTATGGGGCTGTTTGTTGTGGCTCCTTGGACTGAAGAAGTCCTTTGGATGAAAGACGAAACTTTTCAACAAAAAAAGAAACTGTCCAGAGGACCTGACTTAACTTTGTTGGATGTTTTACCTGAATGAGAGCATGAACTTTGATCATTCATAAACTATTTTTCATGCATTTTAAGAACAAAAACACATTTAAAAAGTACTTTCAGTA